TATCCTGTTCGTGTCCTCCGTAGACATAAACTTATGACTTCGTTATAAATAATGACGAAGTGAAACTAAGGTTATATCGCGAAGGTTGAGCCGATGACAGGTCATCTCGAAAACGGGGGACACTGAATGACGGTGGAAACTTTTCGCGTTATTTCTTTATTTCTTTCTCTAGCGAGCGATCGTCATTTCAGCGAATGACATGTTGCGTATGGGAATCAATCATTGGAAAACTAAAACTTTTATCGGCGGCTCCCACTGACTCTGCTCGTTTTTTCTGCAACTCATATAATGATAAATGCGAAGGAGATAATAAATGTTAATATTTAAGAAGCACTTTGCGATAGTTTGTCAGTATCGATGATCCGTGATATTTATTAGCGAATAAAAATATAGATATCGATACATTTTTCTCTGAATTCGTGTAACTTTGATAATGCACAATTATTATTATTGCAATGTTAAAAAATTCGGTTGCTACAGATACGTATAAGAAGAATTATAAACCTTCCATGGTCAACCTTCCATGTATTCAATATTTAAAGTGTAGAAATTCTTGGAAAACATTTTTCAAAATTTAAAAGGTAAATAATCTTATTAATCCTTTTCTCCCGCAATTGTAGACAAAAGGAAAGAAATGTAGATCACTACTCGCGTGCGTATTTGAAGAGTTGTTATTACCGATACACCACGTGGAGGATCGAGGGTTGAGTTTCCTCCCCTGTGGTTTTACATACGCGCTCCGATTATATGCCCCTTTATTCTTTGTATCGCGAGGGCATGTCATTTGCGGGTGTAGGGTGGATGCAAGTAGGAGGCGACAAAAAAATAGCTTTATGTCACGAGAGATCATTACGGACTTTTTTCAAGAGGGTTCGAAAAGTGGCAGGGTCAGGGATGACCCCTGACCTTGCACACAGTTCGTAGTAGTCTTTCGCCGTGACGATCATGTGCAACGAGTCTCTTATACCGAATATACGAATAAAAGAATCGCACGCCTTTATCCTCATCTTTCTAATAAACTAGAGAACCCTTGCGTGAAAAAAGTAGAGAGGGCGTAGTGGAGAAAATTATTCCCTTGAACACGATAGACGAGAATATTCATTATGGATAATTATAGACAAGTAAATTATAGACAAGGTGTCTATGAATTGTTAAAACATAAAGGAGGTATCATTCGTATACAATAAAGATATCGATAATTTTAGAGCTATAAATAGAAATAAAATGTTTAAAAAATTAAGATTACAAGATGCTAATAAAATTTAGTTTTTTAATCCTACATTTTACTCACGTGGTTCCTTTACTGTAATTATTCGAATGGAATGTTCCCGACACTTGATTATTTCAATTTTATAGTTTCCTTTGTGCGCGATTTACAATGAAAAAAAAATTAAACATTTGTTGAAGAGTAAAAAATGATTAACGAACGATATTACGTAAAAAAATCGCCTTTAGAGTAGTGAATGATAAAAGAAAATTCTACAATTTCGTAGCCATTTCGTATAAAACAAACTACATCGTCTGGCACAGGGAATAACGCAATGAAAAATAAGCAAAAAGTCTTGAGGTTCGCTTCTTCTCGACGCTTTCCTGCCTAAATTTCTTTTCTCCTCATTGCGAGCGTGTTAACAATATTTTCTGTTCGAAACATTTATTCGGGACGATTTAATCCCGGAGCGGGCGACGAACCCGGGGCCGGCGTGCCTCGTCGTGACATTTCGCTACACGTCGTAGCCGAGACAACGGTCGCAACAGTCACGGAAGAGCATCCGTAGGACGAGGCGGGCGAGGCGACGAGGAAGAGGCGGAGAGTCATTTCGATCAGGATGTCGTTTTCACGCTCGGCACCGTGTCTTCTCGAACGTGGCACATTGTTTAGTCGATACGTCACTCTCGCGGATCGTAGTGTACCAACGCGATGAGATCCGCGGATCCTCCGGAAGGTAACAGCATCTCGTTCACGTATCTCTATGCGCCGCGCGAGCATTTCGCCTCCTCGCCCCCCTCGGCCTCGATTCGCCCGGATTGCCCTGGCTTCAAAGCGAAGACGTCTCATTATCGGACTTTCCTTCTCCTTGACATTATCCCCCGCGCGACGGCCGCCCACTTTTCACCCCGTTCTTCCAGTTTGTCGAAGAACTTACTTCAGTGCGATGGTATACCGTGACCGGGTGATAATGACGATGCCGGGTGTAATTGGATGCCCGTCAAGCGCGGAAACTATTTGAAATATCGTGCGAAATGCGAGTTCGCGAATAGTCGTCCCGGGTAGTGTACAGCACGGTCGTAGAATGTCATTATTGAATTTTTGTATCGCTGGATGGAGAACGATATACACGAAATACAAGTATAGTAAATTTGTTATTATTTTTGAAATTTTCTAAAGTGTAATCATAAAATATAAGAAAATTTTAAGAAACAGAAATTATGGCAGACATGAAAATTTTAATTTTGTTATTTTAAATGTAAGAAAAGACGGTAGTCGTATTTAGTAAAAAGTATTCTATTATTCAAGATCTAAATATTTCTGAATTATTTAACATGTTGAAATATCTATAATAAAATATTAATAAAATGAAAGATTAAACGTACATCGCGATAAATCTTACGCTGTAACGATCGAAATGGTACGAAACTAACCGAATATTTGCGCGATAAATGTATAAAATTATATAGGCGTAACGTTGGTATATCTGGAGAAATCGATGCGGTTCATAAGCAGGGATATAAATCATTGAGCAACCGAACGATACAGTTCTGTATCCACAAAGGCAGTACATTTATAACTATCGATTTTTTAGGTTACGTTCATCCATATAGTCAAGTGATGCTTTGCTATGACCATTTATTCATCGCTACGATCGTTTAAACGTGCTTTGTAACAATGAAATCTAGTATGCTAAGTATATTCGTAAATATGTTTCGCTTTATTTCGTGCAAATACTTCTGCTCATAGTCTCAGTCATACAAATTAGATTAATTCTGAGAATTTTATACAAGTTTCAATGTTTGGTTTAAAAATGATTTGTTTTCTATTCTTTTACGATCGGGTGTTGTTCATGTGTTGTTCGGGTGTTGTCATGTGTTGTTCATTCATAAGACATATATATTTCTTACACAATAATAATATTGCTAAATTTAAAAAAACGGTATTCAGAAAAAAACGTAGTAGTTGCAACTATAAAAGTGCACTGTCTGGTTGGAATTCTACTTGAAAGTGGACGAATCAGAATCTTCTGGTTTCATCATTTTTTTCAGTGCATATAACCATTTTATAATTGCGACAACTATAGTTTATTCAATTGTACACATTAATTGTACATATAAAACTTGACCAGTTGTTGTCACCTTTATAGTTTTATTACTACTAAATATTTTTTTCTCTGAGGATGGATGTCTAATCAGCCACAGGAGTTTTGCTGCTTTCACGACTCATGCTAGGAACAATAATACATCTTGCATGGATGCAAATTAGCAATGAGCGCGATGCGTTGAAGGGTGGGTCGCGTGCAAGCGAAGAACTTGAGGGGTAGCACATGCACCGATTAAGACTCGGAAGGAAATTTAAAACAAGCATCAGCCCGCGGTTTCGAATTACCGTGACAAAAAAATGATTCCGCATGGTGGCAGGCGGGGATTTGATTCAAGGACTAATTTCGCAGGCGACAAAAAGTCGCGCGCGTGTATAGAGTGGTTGGGGCAAGACGGAAGAGAAAAAACAAGAACGCTCGTGTGCGGTTCGAAGGGGCTTGGAAAAGTAATCAGGATGCTGAGACCACTGTTCGGCGAAGGGTTTAGCGGGACGAGGGAAGCCATGAAAACGAATTACAGCGATTTAAAGTTTCACCTCATCCACCTTTTCTACCAATCAAGCACCCTCATGCTGTCTTTTCTCTCGTGGGATATGACCATTCTTCGTACTTATTCCACTTGCGGCCCTCCGCAGGTTGTTTCGAAGATGACAAGAGAAAAGGAAATAGTGTCACGCGGGGAGACAAATTCGCGTCGTCGTGGGTGGAAAAGTTTCTTTCAACCCCCGCGGTGCGCCGAATGCCGTTCATCGTAACGCGAAATTTATCAAAGCACATTGTAAGTTCTCTCTCTGTTAGAGACTCACAGTGCGTTTTGTACGTTTCGTAAATTATTATTACGCAATCACTGATTACTCCAATGAAATGCGGACGTCCGATAGACCCACGTAGGCAACATGTTAGTTAAAATTGCGGTAAAATTAAGACGTGTATCCGATATAATTATTCAGTTATTATTTAATCATACATTTTGATTTCAAAAATAAATTTAATTTATCAGAATTTATTTACTGAACAAGTACACAGTTGGAAAATTTGTGCTGAATTTAATTTAATACATTTCACGTGTCTCAAACAGTCAAAATTTTGTGTTAATTTAATACAAAATTAATGTTAGAAAGTAATACAAATATTATATAAAAAAATTAATATTAAAAATATAATATTGATACAGTTTGTGAGCAAATAGTGGAAGTATATTTTTTCAAGAAAAATTAACATTTATAATATGTTAAATTAATACGTATTTTACTCATTTATTTTAGAATTTAAGATGTTATATTTACATTTTAAAATACATTATTTTTATATCGTTTATTCACTTATTCATAAATTATTTTAACACTTTAACACAAATAAAATCATTATTAAATTTATACGTGAACATGTTAAAAATTCAACATAAAACTTTTATTAAGGACCAGTTTTAACATAAATACAAAATGTTTTCCACTGTGTACAATTTATTGCACTATTTGTAAAGTCACTGCCGTAAACCATTTATTTTGTGCAAGATAGGCAGTTTGCGGGATTGATATATTTTTACTATTTATACGAAAAATGTTTCGAGTATAAATTACATTTGTCAACCTCAGTCACACATTTTGCACCGTCTAAACGCGTTACATCGTGGCTCTATCGGGCGGCTCGGATACATTAATAACTTGGAATAACATTTATCGTACTGACCTGTTGATGGCCAGAACGCGACTGAGGTTGGGAGAGAGCCTGGCCTGCATGGTCTACTTGCACCGCTGAAACTGTCACAAGCATTTGGTATTTTATTTCATTACGCTAGGCTTTCATCGTTATTTTTTTTTACGAGAATAGGAGACACGCGGATGGGATGAGATGGACGAGAACCGGAAGCGGGTGGACATCAGAATCACGCATTGCCAAGGAACTCTACCTGGATTTGGAAGCAGGTCGAAAGGCTTCGCGAAATGTCGTCTTGTTGCGACCAATGTTGCGCATTTTCTATTAATTTCTTTTTTTTTGTTCTATTTATTCCGGAGAAACGACATTACAGGCCAAACTCTCTCTCCGCCTCGACGCCTCCAACATCAATGTGTAGAATTCTTTCACAACCTCGTTCTGATTGCCGTCATAGGCAGCGGCCTCTACTTGACCACTATTAATTGTTACAATCGGTAGCAACGCTGACACGCGACTCATATCTCTACATCTGAAAACCTTGCACACGAAAGCGATAGATGCAAGCAAGGCTGCGAAAAAATGTGATATTAATATTTCATAGTTATGTCATATTACAACTATAAATAAAATTGACCGAAAATGACATTTCCGAAAAAGCAAGTTGGAGTCTGAAACTTAAATTCTGTTAATTTGCTCTTGAGAGTGCGACATTTTTCTGTATTTATTTTAATGATTTACGGAGACATATTGCTGCATCGATAATAAAGTGACGCATCTCAAAATTAGTAACTTTTCAGTGGAGCATTTTACTTTTGGAATAACGTTTTAATTAGACTAGTGAATATGTGCATAACTTCGCTTTTCTTCCTTGATTTTCAATTATAATGTATTCTTCACAAAACTATATTGTAACTTTCCAAAATTCAAACACTGCAACTCTAATATAGGGTTGTGTAAATTTCATCATCAAAATTGTGACTTTTTTCCACATAAGCAATGTGTCGACAAACGTGTTGTCTTTTCACAAAAATATATTATCTTTTAGATAAATTTTTTTTATTATTTAAAAAATATTAATTTTATTGACATTTACTTGAGTGAAATTGTTCTATCAGTGCAGCGATATTGGCTTGTCATCGTCGCAGCGTTGCTACATTTAAATAAACAATGCGAATGTTGAATGTCGAGTGACTTTTTCAACATTCTTCGTACATTAATATTGTATTAAGTAGATAAAAAAATCTTGCAAGCAACAAGGTAAATATATGCTTCGCAACGCTTAAATAACGAATTATGGGCTGACAAAGAGAAAAATCTTAGGTTCGTTTCAAATAACTAAAATCTTAGATTGTGGTTAGATTTGTTAGAATGTTCAACTCGTATGACTGCCTCCAATCGCTAGCAGTCGGTTCTCCTCCTCATGCAGACATTTTTACCCTTCGACCTTCGACTCCGAAGCGAGAAACTCGTTGCCTCGTCGAAATGGCAACACTGTAGTTAAATATCTGCATGCAACAGCCTAACGTATAATTAAGACGTATCACGAAGAGCGTATAAAGTCCGTTCGACGCGTGATATTAAATCAATCCTTTTTTCGCTGAATGGATAGCGCGCCGCTTCTGTTTCAGATCGAACATTTTATTTATTCGATTTATTACATTATGAAATACGTTGAAGTAGACACGCTCTAGTTTGATATATACTATTTGTATAATTAAATTTAGAGATAAAGAGAGGGAATAATTTTATTATTTACAACTTTTTTAAGTGCAACACTCTAACTTTATAATTTTGGGTCCGATTTGGATTTTCAGATTTTATTTTTTCCTTTAAACAGAACAATTCGGTCTTTAAAGGATCAAACCAATTAAAGAATTAAATCAATTTCTTAATTTAAACAACATAGCTATTTTATCTTTCAGATATGTTAAAACGTAATATTTGAATTCAAAATACATGGATAAAAAAATAACCATATTTAATCAACCCATTTCTATGGTTGAACTGCTTAGTTCTAAAGTAAACAGCGTTCACGTATGTTTTCTTATAAGAAAAGCGGTGCGCGAGGAAGAAAGGAAAGAACGTTGGAACGAATCTTTGCGGGAGCACAGCGCGGTGGGATGATCTGGCGATGGAATTTGGTTAAACAGTCGTCGACGACGGTCTGGCTTGGGTGCTTAATAAAAATCGAAGTCGTTCGTTGCAGTCCCCTGGTCCCCTTTCCCTCTCACACGTTCTGCGGTCAAGAGGCGAAGCCAACTTGGAGCACATTGTTCTCTTTCTCTCTCCCTCTCCTCCCCCTCCCCCCCCCCCCCCCACCCCCCCCCCCCCCCCCTCTCTCTCTCTCTCTCTGCCTCTCTCCGCTTGTATTCGTCTACATTCTCGCACACACGCTGTAAAATACGTGTCTCTGGGATTTTGCACGTGTGTCCACCTACACAAGCGTGCTCGCGCTCTCGTCTGTCCTCGTACACTCACGTGCGCGCGTACGTGTAGGAGAGCGCGCGAGTTGGCCACGAGTACGGTAGCGATACGTTTCTCCGACAAATAAATAAAACGAAACCGTAAGCGAGGGAATAAAATGTGATTTACAACGGTGGAAAGACAATGGCCGAGGCTCCGCACGATAATGTATGCGGATGGCGCGGACTGGTACCCGGGGATACTGACTTCTGATTGGTCGTGCCCCGACGCCACCGCTACAACGGAAAGCGATAAATAACTGCGAGCAGATAAAACCTTTCTTTCTGCCTTCGGGCTTAGCCTGGGCACTCTCGGCATCGGGCTTAGCACTTGCTCGGAGCGCTTCTGTCCCTCTTCCTCTTCCTCCTTCCCGATTCCTTACTGCACAAACCCGTCCCTCCAGAACAACACTCTTCTGTCTCTTTTCTCTTTCCTTGCGTCTTCTCTTTTCTCCTGGCCGTTGTTTCCCGTGGTTCGCCTTCATCGAACGATTTCGATTCGTGAGGGCCGTCTCACATGACAGTCATCACTGTGTGCGATACTTCACTGTGTGCGATACTTCACCGTGTGCGATACTTCACCGTGTCCCCTTTCTTCCTGTTTATCCTACTGTCCCTTGCCCTATTTAGAATCCAGTTTTCGGAGTCGTATTATCTTTATTTCGAGGAGAGAAATATGAAGTATTCCATGTAAAATTCAACTATTTTATCGAATAAGAGGTTTTTATTTATTATTCAAGAAAAGAATAAAATTTATTTGAAAATTGCGTCAATATTAATATTTGTGCTACTTTTCAACATATTATATTGTGTTAAATTAATACAAAAAGTTGATTAGACCGTATTTAGAACAAAATGTGCTAAATTTAACACTTTACCAACTGAGTACGCAACGACAGTTATAAATTTTACTTATATCGTTATTCCATTAAATTAAATTAGAAGTGTTAAAGTTTCTATCATTATTTATCATGTAACATCTCAAGGTAATTTTGTAAGACAGCTAACGAGCTTTTTGAATCAGCTGTCGCTTTTGATGAAGTTTTATCCTTCGCTTCGTATCATCACACCGCGCTCCGAGTTTACCCTGAGCTAAGAGGGTACTACGTCGAAAATGAACGGTGATGTAAATTTTTTCCTGCCGCTGGCACCAGGGTGTCGGAAACAATGAAGGGCGACGTTACGAAGACGATCGATCGTTTACAGGGGTGTGCTGACTAAAGTTCAAGGGGAAGTTTGACCGAAGGGCTAGGCCAGAGAGAGATGCCTGGCTTTACAGAAACATGATATTCTCCCCCTGCGACAGCTTGTTAAAAAATGTCTAATGGCCGACCTCGCCGCGCACTCTGATCCGGAAGACTCCTCGCAAAAACCCAGCTTCTAATTTACGAAACGTTGCAAATAATATTTTCCGATTATAAGTAGTTTAAAGAGTTTTATGATCACATCATTTTGAAACAGTCGATAATTATGATAAATAGTCTTTTAAAATTTACCCTAAAAATATGGTAGTTGTAGTACAATATTTCAAAGATTTTTACCATGCACTTCGGTAAAGTTGATCAAACTTATTTTATACTTTATTGTAGTTTTATTAATGAATGAGAGAGATTTA